CAAACATTATAAACAAGCGTAAACAAACAACAAGAAAATATAAATATACATGTACAGTTAAAAATTAATAAATACTAAACTACGTAAACTCACTCATTCCTGGAAAACATCAAAGAATTCCTTTAAAGAATAAAAAATAAAGGAATTAAGTCGCATTCTTAGCGTTTTTTTAAACAAATCAAGTGAAGGAATTGATCTTATACCCTGAGGAATGCAATTGTATATCTTCACAGCTATTACTATATGTGAATTATTAATAATTGAAGATTTAGCTATTGGTATTCTAATGAGTTGAGCATGTCTTGTACTGTAAGCATGATAGTCGGAGTTACGTTTAAACAAGTGAACATTACTGTGTACATAAACTACACATTCGAAAATAAATAAGTTATATACAGTTGGTATTTTTAATTTCATAAAATGGGGGCGACACGAGTCTCGAGGCCCTGTACCAACTAAAACACGAATGGCTCTCTTTGGCAGCCTGAAAATATTTATGACAAATTTAGAATTTCCCCAAAATAACAAACCATATCTTAAGTGAAATTCGAAGTATGAGTACCAGTATCACTACTTTCTATTAACCACAATCAATAAGATTTTGTCGGGGGCCCCATATTCCCTTTGTCGGTACCAGGGTCGGTACCCACCTCCGACATCCCGTTCGCCCGGAATTCGCGTTTAAAGTTTTGACTCCACCGTTAGTAAGATCTTGTCGAGAGCTACCACACTCCCTTTGTCGGTACCCGCTTCCGACGCCCCCACAGACGGCGGATGTATACACAGTTTGAATCAAAACACATGTACCACGCTATCTTAAGTGCCTCAATATGAATGGCGACTGTGTTGAAAAATAGCCTAAGAGTGTAGCTTCCAAATGTATATAATAAAAGTTGTTTATTACACTTTCTTAATTTTTTATTTCAAAACGTCTGTTACTTTCTGGATGGCCCTTGTAGTACAAAGTTACAGCGGTAGGAAAAGGCTGCAGATTTAAGTTAATAGTAATAATAATACTTTATTTGTGATCTATACAATAGTCTGTATTAGTGTAACCAGCACTTGCACGCAATCATTTCTACGACTTGTGCCCCATGCCATAGTTAAATTTGACCCGAGAATTGGAAACACTATAAATAAATGTATTTCTATTCTTCATTCAGTGAAAGATTTCGTTATTCAAAGCATCTTTCTAAAATTTAAGTATGCAAAATTTGTGTGTAAATTCGAAAGGGTGCAGTGCTGTTAAAATTTCGTGTAAAGTTTCTCTCAAAAATGTACCGTGTTTTATTAATTAGAGCGCAATGGTATCTGATTAGGCGCCAAAATCTGGTAGAGCGCCAAAACCTGATCCGGCACCGCTTCGAAAAATACCTAGTTACGCCACTGATTCAACGTACAGTCGCTAAGCTTGTAATGAATTGCCATCAGCAAGTCCATAAATGAAATGCATGCCAGCCATCTCGGCATTCGCATGGTGAGCAATGATAGTGGACTTCACAAACTAACATTTAAGTATTAACGGCAGAAATTACACGCCAAATAGCCAAACGTCAATCATTCTTATTAAATTTGACAACAAACAAACAAAATAATCATTCAACGGAATCGCGAAATGTTGATAATATAACTCGTATTTTTTCACCCTGTACCTATCTTCGGTACACAGCCCTTTTTCAAAAATCGTAAAAGGATAAAATATTCTTAGAATAGTCCAAAGAACAACATCTTTAATTTTTGTCGCATGTTTAACAAACACTCTGTATAATGTGGGCATTGGGTGAATGGTTAACCACAAGAGTAAATGATACATCAGCAACAAATATCTATCAAATTTGAAGATTTAAATTAAGATTAATTGATAAGGAAATCGCTCTTTGTAACCTAGAACGGTACTAGGTATTAAGGTCGGAAAGTCATACTGACTACTTATTTTGTAGGAAAGTTTCAAAACAAAATGCAGCTGGCTCGTAAAGGCGGTGGTGGGGACTTTATCGCGCCCGAGGCTACCCTAGAAATTACACAGATAATTGAATATATACTTAGATTTTTCTTTAAACACAGTAGAAATCGCTACTTAATAAACCCATAAATTTGGTACTTTTGTGGAAATTGTGAGCTAAGTCGATTACCCGTAGTGCGTTCGTGTTGGTGAGCGACGTTTAAGCATCGGTGTCGCACGTCTACCACACTCACAAGTCACAACCCGCCCATCAAATGGGTGTAAAAGTCGCTTTTATTATTAAACACTAAATTTCAAATTCCCACAGGAAGTTTTTTGTTGACCCGTTACAGAGTTATACCTTAAACAATGATTAATTACGGTCAATTTTTTATTGGTACATTGGATTCCTTCTATTGTTTTGTGCATCTTTTTCTGAACACGGGACTCACGCATTTTCCCTTTCCGTCAAGCATGCGAAAATTGTTGAACGATCTTTTAAAAGAGTGCTCAAAGTCCAAATCCCCTAAATTCGCGGCACGTTTGCATCTGTACGGACATACCACATTGAAAACACCGGTTTTCGACCGCTCACCGAAGATAAGCAACGTCGTGCGCGGTGAGTGCTTAGATGGGAGACCACTTGGGAACACCGCGTGACGTTGCTTTTTGCTCATGTTTGTTCATTGAGTTTAGAATAACATATAATCAGGGGCGGGCTGGGTAACTGCGGGCCAGGTGGAATTGCATAGGTTACGGGGTTAGCTCTGAGGTGCACCACAAAAACATTTTAAAGTACTCCCTTCTCGAAAATAAATTACCATACAGTTTTTTTTTAAATTGCAGCTGATAATTAAAAGTAACAAAATATACAATCCACACGAGGTGCGTCGCTTATCATTGTATTTCAGCACTTTCATGCTACGACAAAAAATGATAAATTCATTGTAAAACACTTCAATTAAAACAGAATTTTTTAACAACCTAACATCAACCCCAATATTAGAGAAACGTGTTAATAATTTATTAATAGTGCAAGAAACTAAATACAGCACATACTTATAAATTTCCAACGGGCCATTATGATCTACAGGCCAGGTGGCAATGGCCACCCGCCCCCTCGGGCCAGTGCGCCTCTGGTTATACACTGCCTTTTTTTGAGCCCCGAAAAAAAAATTTTCTCAGATCGACCCGGAAAAAAAATTTCTTATAGAATGTGGCCTGTAGAATCCATAATTTCAAACAGTTCCAAGATTGGGCTACTAGTTCAAAAGTTACAGCCTTTTGAATTTTTTTTCGAAATTGGTTTCTAGTCTATAACTTTTGATTGAGAAGTCTAATCGAAAAAGTACGAATTGTTTTGGATTCTACGCCCCAAAATTATTAAGAAAAAGTGTTTTCCCGAGAAATTTTGGTGTAGTCGATTTTTGGTAAAAAAGGAAGGTTATACACTGCCTTTTTTTGAACCCCGAAATAAAAATTGTTTCAGATCAACACGGAAAAAAATTTTTCTTATAGAATGTGGCCTGTAGAATCCATAATTTCAAACAGTTCCAAGATTGGGCTACTAGTTCAAAAGTTACAGCCCTTTGAATTTTTTTCGAAATTGGTTTCTAGTCTATAACTTTTGATTGAGAAGTCTGATCGAAAAAGTACGAATTGATTTGGATTCTACGCACCCCAATTAATAAGAAAAAGTGTTTTCCCGAGAAATTTTGGTGTAGTCGATTTTTGGTAAAAAAGGAAGGTTATACACTGCCTTTTTTTGAGCCCCGAAAAATAAATTGTCTCAGATCGACCTGAAAAAAAAATTTTCTTATAGAATGTGGCCTGTAGAATCCATAATTTCAAACAGTTCCAAGATTGGGCTACTAGTTCAAAAGTTACAGCCCTTTGAATTTTTTTTTCGAAATTGGTTTCTAGTCTATAACTTTTGATTGAGAAGTCTGATCGAAAAAGTACGAATTGATTTGGATTCTACGCACCCAACCCAAATTAATAAGAAAAAGTGTTTTCCCGAGAAATTTTGGTGTAGTTGAATTTTGGTANTGAGACTACTCTAGTACATTTCATGATTAGTGCCACTGCAAAGTCACGGCCTTCTAAATTTTATGATAACTGCGATATTCAATTTTTACTGGACATCTACTTTTTGAAAAAACGAGAATTGCGGCTAAACTACTCATTTTAGATATCATGTGTAATGCATAAAGTCACACTAAAATTGACCAAGGAATCGAAATATGTAATAATATACAGGGGGTTCCATTTAAAAAATGCAACTTTGATATAAATCACCCTGTATAACAATTGCAATTTCGGTGAAAATATTTTTAGGTTGTAGCCTTAAGAGTCCTTCAACATTCCCCCATAATGAATTTTAAATATGCGCGTTAATAAACCCACAATCGTCCACCCACACACTACTGGCCCACCCGGGAGGAGCCCTTTTTGTAGATGTCATCAAGACACATCTTTTTTGTAATTAAATTTTTTCACTCTGAACTTTCCTTCAAAAACAAAGAAACTAACAAAAAAATTGTAATGAACTTTTTTGTACAGTTTTTTTCAGCCATTTTGGCCAGTGTATGCGAAAAAATGTTTCAAGCCGTTATGGTTCTTTTAAACTTTTGACGCCCTCAACAACCATGAAGATGCTTACGGATCAAAACCAAAATAGGACGTTTTGCACCCCAAATTTGGTCCAAATCGGTTCAGGGGTTTTTTAGTTATCGTGATCACAAAAAAAATTTGCAGAAAACGCAATATTGGCTTATCGAAAATTTATCACGATTACAATACTTTCCTTTATACAAGTTGGAAAGTAAAAATGGGGAAGCGAGCCACAATGGGATTTGGTTGCACGATGGCATTTGGTCTGTGACATGTGCCACTTAAGTGCAATAAAAGAAATCAAAGTAATTTTTATAGGTGTAACCGCAGATTGAAGCAACAACAGATTACTAACCTTATGCATTTTATGGGTACTACAACTTGACCCAGTCATATTAGGGTATTACGTAGAAATAATTCCTTAAAATCGGATACTTTGCAAAATTCAGTGGTCTTTTATAGAAATCTATCATGAAAGTCCTTAGAGCTATACTTTTAAGGGAAAATGTAGCACTGTGGGTATTATGATTCAACGTTCCTCTTCTTACAACTATCATAGATTTTCGTGTAGTGGTGTGGTATGTGTGGCTGACACCCAGTTCTGCATTCTTCCCCAAAACATATGGTACTAATACCACTATCATTTTTGGAAAGGGACCTTTCCACGTAACATCAGAAGCCTGTGGGCGATGCAATCTTCATCAGGAAAGGGAGATTCAATGGTCCTTACGTTTTGAGGGGAAATGTAACACTGGGACGTCATACCCTCCAGCAAAACAAAGATTCAACGTTTCGTTTCTTACAACTACAGTGGCCTAACTTATCATGAAACGTATGAAAAAAAATCTGTATCAATCAATTTTTGGTATTTGACCTTTTCTAATTTGAATTTTCGATGCAACATGGCGGAATGGGCGGAGCTTAGCGCCTATTGTCACCACTGTCATGTATACCTGTGTTACCTATGAAATGATAAGGTTGGCAATCTGTGGTGCAACTGACACAATTGGCAACACTGCATAAAAAAAGTTATCCTTTGCCGGGTGTGAAATTACAGTTAGCGCAAAAAAAGTACCTACCTCCCGTTCACGTTTCGATGCGGACTCTTGAAATTTCTTGAGCATATCCAGAACCTCGTCGATCGACAAAGTGGGATGAGGCGGATGGTTGTAGATCCTCTGGAAGTAGCTGTTCGCCTCGTCCTCGATATCCTTCGTAACGTTCGGCGCGATCTCGGTCAGTATCGAATTGCTGTCCTGCAGTCGGGCCTTTTCGACGATCGGATTTGGCCCGCCGATCCTGCTCAAGTTACCAATCGTGTTGATGGCGGGCAGTAGGGAGCCGGTGGTGCCCACCGGTCCCTGGTGCTGTATGGGTATCATCGGAAACGGGCTGTTCGATTGCAGCAGTCGAGAGGGCGAACCGGGCGAGGAGACCAGCGGGCCTAGTCCTCCTTGCAGATTGAACGCGGAGTTGTTAGAGCCGCCGATCGTCATGTTGGCTAACGTCGATGTGATGCTGATGGGATCGACGTTCGAATTGTAAAGTTGTTGCGCCATGCTCGATGGATTGAACGGGCCGTCCAGGGTGCGATGAGATCGCAGAATCGAGGACGGCTGCTGGTGGGTTTTTAAAAGGATGGTGCAGTTCGTCGACATCGCGCAGATGGTCTCTTGAATTTCCGAGTTCATGTTGCAGGAGGCTTGTTGTAGACAGAGCAGGATCGTGGTTAAGGTCTCTTTCGGTAGTAGAACGGCCTTGGGAAGTGCGTCGTCGCTTTTACCGATGAGCTGCGGACATCGCCTTTGCAGGAACTTAATGCAGGCGGTCACGAAAGGTTCGCCATGCTCGCGAATTTTGTCCGTAATCCATTTCTCCAATTTCAGATATTCCCTTCGCGACGCGAGACAGGCCAGGTCGATTATAAACGGATAGGATTGAGCGTTGAGTAGCATGGACAGTGCCTTTAGGTCTTGGGCGACGTCGAGTATTCGGGACAGTCTGGTCTGGTCGTACTCGCCTCGGGCGTACCAGTCGGCCATTGCGTGCATTACGATGTGCTTAATATTGAGGGTCTGGGTGTGCCACGCGTGGTGTAAAATAATGGCCGAGTTCGGATGATTGCCGAGGAATATAGGAATGAGATTTGTGAATAATTCCTGCCGTAGCATCGTGACCGGACCGTTGATTTGCATCAGAGTCAATATTAAAACGTCCGGACAGTTTTGTAAAGGAACTTTAAACAATTCTTGCACTTGCGCGTAGTACCCGCACTCCGAGATCGTCAACAACAATTCCACTAAATTTAAATTGCGCCAGTTGCTCAACTCCTTGCTGTCCTGTTCGGGAGGCGTCTTTAGTATGTCGACAGGCACTGATAAGAACGGATAGTCGGCGAAGCAAAACACGTCCGAGTTTTTCAAAATCTGTTGCATTAAACTAAACTGTCCCTCGACGTTCGTCCACCTTCGGTATAGGTGATCGACGGGGAACGTTTCGGGATGAAAGCCGACGTTTTTCAAGCCCAAACGAAGTGCACTTAAAAGCATGATAAGGCCCTGCCTGTCTTTTATTACGAATTCCGAATGGTCCAGCTCGAGAATTACGCTACTCCATTGTAACGTAGGACAGACCTCCTTTTGGCGAAAGAAAAAAATAAATAAGTAGCCGCAGAGCTCGTCTCAAACTTATGCTTTCATTCAAAGTGAGTTCGGAACTCTAAATATAAGCGCAGGCGCGATAAAAGTGACCATTTCCTTGTCTTATACACACTTGGTAGTGTGCAAGCAAGGAATATTGAATAAACACAAAAGGTTGAGATGGAGTATACCCTAACACTAGTGTCATTGTTTATTCATTTATAGTGATTCCACTTAAGTGACTGATGAGTGCTGCCACATCATGTCGAATTGTGGTACTATCATTGGACTACCTAAGTGTGACGTCATTCTGCGGGGCGGGGATTGGTGTACGTTTCCGAACAATTCAAATTCTGAAAATATAGTTAATGTAGTTGAATCCTTCTCCGCCAGGGGGCTAGTTTTGACACTAAAAAAATCAAATGGAATGATATGACCTTTCTTTATGAAAAGGTAGCCAAATAACATCCAAAGAGGCCAGTGAAAACCGTTTTTCAAAAACTGGTTCCTAACCTCAAATACTGGGAAAATGAGATTAATTAATTAATTAATAAAAATGCTTAAATTGTATCTTATTTGACGTATTTCCGTATTTGTAGATGAGCGCGAAGAAAGCAACCTACACTTTTTAGGCTAGGCCTTGGAAAATTTAAACAAATGAACACGATACATTGTTAAATAATACAGGACGTTAATTTGTAAATTATTCTTCTGTGTTACATCAGAAGGTTTTGCAGTTTTTTTGAATTGTAATGTTTTCTAAAATGCGATTTCTAACCAAGAAGCATTTAATATGCTACGGCAATGGTTCGTGGTCAGATCTCGGATAAACCGCAAATATAAAATGGCAGGGCAGCGATGGTAGCATTTTGAAAATACTCAAATATATCACCAGCATATTAAATGCTTCTTGGCTAGAAATCGCCTTTTAGAAAAGATCTGAATTGTAAACACAAGCAAGAATAATTTCAAATTACTCTGTTTTATTCTTATAATGTATCGTGTTTCAATTGTTTAATTTATCCAAGGCCGACCTTAAAAGTGTATGGTGCCTTTTCCAACAATCTTTCGCGCCATCGACACAATACCCGAAATAAGTCAAATGAGATATAATTTAGCATTTTTATTAATTAATTAATCTCTTTTCCACAATATTTGAGAGTTAGGACCGAGATTTTGGAAAAAACGTTTTCACTTACCTCTTTGGATGTTATTTTGGCTACTTTTTCATAAAGAAAATCATAATCTTTCCATTTTTTTTTAAGGATTTTGGATCAATAGTATTCAAAACTAGCCCCCTGGCGGGAGAAGGATCCAACTAATACTATATTTTGGTTGATTTCTTGTTGCCGAGGAAACTCTTTTCAACGATACCAATTTAGTTACAATCGGTCAACAGTCAAGAGTTCAAAGCAGGTTATTTCGCAAACATTGCACGCCCCATCGCCATCTTTGTTTTTAACAACCGAGTTATTAATGTTTTTTTTACGAAAATTATAGATAACTGGTGTCTCTTTAAAATGTGAAACAATTTCTTTTAAGTTTATTATGCGAAATAAAAGAAATGATGCAGTTGCGGCCCTCTGTTGGTCATTTTTAGAACTGACAAATACTTTTTCCAGCGATCTTACCGTGATAATATTTTTTTTACCCCTAGTCATTATGCAGCGCGTTCTAGAGTATGGCCGAAGAACAGGTTATTGGGGTCACCGGTACAATAAATAGAGACAAAAGAGGGGATTTACATTTACACAACACTCCCCTCCCAACTTTTTAAAAATCCGCCACATACTTCAGATGTTCGCTATCTATCGTTTATCGATTGCATTTTAGCTACAAGAATTCTACCTCAATGGTGTAGAGAATTTAAATTTTGTTTCTCAGAACTGACATTAACAGTTGATTACCCTTCTGTACAACTTTGTCCAGGGGTGGTCCCATGAATAATGGTCACAGGCTATATCTATGGAACCGTTAATTGCACAGCTTCGGGAAAAAAAATTTGTTAACAAAAGGGGCCAAGAGAAATCGCTGGAAATTATTTTCAAGTTTCTAACTTCGCCGCTAGAGGGCGTATGATTCATGGTTAGGTAGAAAAATGACTTTTTTCCTAAAATATACCCAACAAACATGCATAAAAAATACATGCATAGTAATCTTGTATCAATTTTGCATCATTTTGATGGAGCACAAATTGCTCTAGCTCATAAAATATGAGGAGTGGGGGAAGGGGAACATCTCTTTAAGGAATTGATTGTAACTTCGGATTAGGTTAACAGATTTTCACAAAATAGGTCTTGTTGGAAGGAGCTCTCTTCGCGGAATCAGATTTTATTACATAGAGTCTTTTTAGTAAATGTGATGAGTGGTAGAGGGCGCGATGTGACATTAACATAAACTTTGCAGGTTTTTTTGATAATTTCAAATGGAATGATATAATTATTATATGATATTATCAAATAAGGTGAAATAGTGAGAATATCAGTGAAAACCGGATTTTGATATCTGTTTTCTAACCATAGATCTGGCGAAAATACGAATACATTCACAAATTTTAATTGCAATATTGATGCTCATTCAAGTTGACTTTGAAACAAAAGAAAACAGAACAAAAGAAAGTTTATCAGTCCTTTCATTAAACGTATTCCTTGTGAATTATCACCACAATGGGTGCCCGGCACATAATAATAATTATTATTTTTTTTATTATTTACTTAATTTATATTTTTCTGATTTAAAGTTTGAATCATTTTTTTGTTGCTCATAATAAAAAAACGTAGATTGAGTGTTAATTTTGAACTGCCATCGCCTCATTCACTTTGACATAAGTATCAGTTGCTATGTGTTTATTTGTTTCAAATCCAACTTGGATGAATATAAATATTGCAATTAAAATTTGTGAATGTTCGTATTTTCCCCATATCTCTGCTTAGAAAACAGATATCAAAATGCCGTTTTCACTGATATTCTCACTTTTTCATCTTATTTGATAATATAATAATTATATCGTTCCATTTGAAATTTTCAAAAAAATTTGCAAAGTTTATGTTAATGTCACATCGCGCCCTCTACCACTCATCACGTTTACTAAAAAAGACTCTATTCATGTAAAATCTGATTCCACGAAGAGAGCTCCTTCCAACGAGACCTATTATGTGAAAATCTGTTAACCTAATCCGAAGTTACAATCAATTCCTTAAAGAGATGTTCCCCTTCCCCCACTCCTTGAGCTAGAGCAATTTGAGCTCCATCAAAATGATGCAAAATTGATACAAGATTACTATGCATGTATTTTTTATGCATGTTTGTTGGGTATATTTTAGGAAAAAAGTCATTTGTCTACTTAACCATGCCACGCCCTCTAGCGGCGAAGTTACAAACTTGAAAATAATTTCCAGCGATTTCTCTTGGCCCCTTTTGTTAACAAAATTTTTTCCCCGAAGCTGTGCAATTAACGGTTCCGTGACCATTATTAATGGGACACCCTGTACAGGGTGACTCATGGGACTATACCCATTTTTTATGAGACTGTACACGACTCCTGAGTGTGGCAGAGAAGTGGTGGGGGGCCCTTTCTCTTCGTTGCGGTTTGCCATTTAAGATTTAAGATGGGGCTACAGCACATACCGCAAGAAGGTCAATGAACCTCCTGAATTGGGGATGTTCCCTGGCCTCCACATTTTCCTGGTCTGAATGCGTGCGATTCCTTTTTGTGGGGGTACTTAAAAGAAAAGGTCTACGCTGGCAAACTCCGGACATTGCAAGATCTCAAAGCAGCTATTGAGAGAGATGTGTGACGGATCGAACGTGAGAGACTGGAAAGATCTCTTGGAAGACGTGATTTTTGCAACGTCATTCTAATGGCATGTCCTCACTATTATGTACAAATTATTAAATAATTTTTTTTTCAAAAAATTAACGTACTGTATTACTAAATGGGTATAGTCCTGGGAGTCACCCTGTATATAGCCCGTAAAAAAAGTACATACTGTATTGAGTAGCGTATATTATTATTACGAATACACAGATGTAAGGCACTCAATAAAAGAAAAATTGGAAACTGTTGGTTTCAACAGAATGGTGCACCCGCACACAATGCTATAATCGTGCCAGAATCCTTAAGGCGTTCTGAGTGGGTGCACCATCCTGTTGAAAACAACCGTTTCGACAATATGAATGCTCAAACTTGTTTATGGTGGCCTATAAACCACACGTGAAAAGTATTCGTCAGCTATCAGTAAACCCTATTAGTAGGGGAGCTAGCACGAAATCCACTGAACGAGAATGATCAAAATTTTAACCGATGGAGTTCCATTTTGCCCTATCAGAGTATGCTAAAATCGATCGTCTGCCGCCTCAGGTCATACGACTTAAGGCGCTGCGGGTACTTCTTGTGGTACCAATTCTGAAAGGTTGTTTTTCGAAAAAATAAGTTATACACCAAATGAAAACGTTGATAATAGCTCTTAAAAAAATAGTTAAAAAAATCGCGCACATTTGATAACTCCGTAAAAAAACAATTCTTAGTCAGTTTTTCACGAACTTTCTACGAATATAACTAGGTTACCGTTGGAAGAATGAAGCTGATTTTTTTTACAGATCAATGATAGGTACAGCCAATGACTATGAGAGTGTTTCTTTTTTAAATTTTTTCTCTAATTATAAGATATCTTATAATGTTAAGCTAATAAGATAATCTTGTAATTAGAGACAAAATTTAAAAACGAAACACCGTTAAGTCATTAGTAGTACCTATCATGAGTCTGTAAAAAAAATCAGCTTCATTCGTCCCACCGTAACCTAGTTATATCCGTAGAAAGTTCGTGAAAAACCGACTAAGAATTGTTTTTTTACGGAGTTATCAAATGCGCGGGATTTTTTTAAATATTTTTTTAAGAGCTATTATCAACGTTTTCATTTGGTATATAACTTATTTTTTCGAAAAACAACCTTTCAGAATTGGTACCGCAAGAAGTACCCGCAGCGCCTTAAGTCGTATGACCTGAGGCGGCAGACGATCGATTTTAGCATACTCTGATAGGGCAAAATGGAACACCATCGGTTAAAATTTTGATCATTCTCGTTCAGTGGATTTCGTGTTAGCTCCCCTATTATATGGTTTGGAACTAATATAAATTTAAAGCAACACCTGGACTCTACCACTAACTGTCAGTGGAATAACTACAAATGAATAAACAATGCGAGTGGTCTACGAACAATACCTTTAGAGCTTGAACAAACACCTCGACATTCCACGTGTTCCTTCCGTCCTTGCTGAAAGAGCCGGGTAGATTTAAAGATTCCTCAAGGCCACTGTGTGTCCGGCATAAGAAGGCTAACGTCCGCGCGACGGCCGTGGGATTGATGTCGCGTCCGATAAATTTAAGTAAATTATTCCGGCAGTCTTCCAACGTAAGAGTAAATCCGTAACCCATTTCCGACACGAGATCGGCCAATGAACTATCAAGCATACCCCCGGATAAACCGGGGCCTTCCGAGGACATTTCGGGCGGCGCTAACTCGCACTGATCCGGGTAGACTAGGGGCGCGAGCACGACCGGAACTAGATCCCTCGAGAAGTCTCGTTGTAGCGAGTTCAAAAATACCGTGTGAATCTCGTTGGTGAGTCCGACCTCTTTGGGCGATTTAAGTACGGCCGACAGTATCAAATGTAAAACTTCCGGCGTGGTATCGTGAAGGCCACCTTCGTGTTGACGACTACTTCCTTCCGTATCTACATACGACTGAACGAGAGCGGGAAGGGATAGTTTCAATTGAGCTTGGGCGAGACTCGCCACCTCTCGATTTTCGGAGTGACGCAACGCTAGAGCGAATACAACTTCTTGAACAGCTGAGAGGCGAAGGCACTTGCACAGCTGCTGAAAGAACAGAGGTCCAACTTTCAAACTCTGAAAGAAACCGGTCAATCGTCACTCGCAAGATCGATTTGACACTCACCTTCTGATTGTTGGCGAATTTATTAACGGTACAACAAATAGCCGACAATAACGAAGGCTTATTGATAACGGTAGCGCAATGCTCTAGCAACACTTGATTGTGAAGACCGGGCGCAACAATTTTATTCGAAGATTCTGAAAAGTCCACCGATGAAAACAGGCATTGGAGCAAGTGACGATCCGCCTCCAGGCCGTGCAAAGTCACCAACTGTCAAACACAGAAAACAATTAATCAAAAAATGATCAAATTGAAATCAAAATAAATTAAGGCCCTCTTGTTCAGGATCGGTAAAGAAGGTTACTCTACCAAAACATATGAGTTGAATGAAAATGGCTACCGCATTTAGGGAACAATAAAGAACACTCACCCTTAATAGTTCCTCTACTACTTGCTTATGATTCTTTTTAGTTAATGACGCAACTAAATAACTTATTTGTGACAAAGTAAAAGACAACGAGTCCAGGTTCATAGTTCCATGAACACGGCCTCGAAAGCTTCAAATACGTTTGAAGCTTTCTCAGGAGATAACCGCAGGCCTTTTGTCCAGAGAGTCCTATTTGTTAATGGGAGACAACTCAATTTTAAATGGTCCAAGACCATCATCGAACCGTTCAATTTCCTTTCTTTGCACTTAATTTACTGTTTCATCTTTAACTTAAGGAGAACACAATCAACATAACACGAACGAAAGTAATTCGCAACTGTCACACTGCGCACGCGTCGAACCGAAACGTCTCGGTAGGCCACTTATTCTATACCATTAGGCGATTACAATTATACAACCGGTGTAACGTCTATCCCTGGCGTATAGGCAACTTGTCAAACACAGGTGGAATTTCGCCCCGTGAGTGGGGTCTGGCGAGACGTTACCATATTTTTCGCTTTCTGTGCGACACGTGTTTTAGTTTTGTTAGTAATTAGTTGACCGCAATTAACAAATGTGTGTAAGCAGTGTAGTCTTTATGCACACAATCCCCTAAGGAGTTTTGTGCTGTCCTTACTCTCGTGCGATTTCAGCTTGTCCCCTCGCAGACTTCATTTAGTCTATGCCCGGCAGCAGTCTCGCATCCGCCTAGAATGTGTTCAGCGGTCTCATCTACCTGTCCACAAAGTCTAAATGTGGCCTCCGCCGCTCCACAAATCTTACGTGGATGGTATTATTATTAAAGTTATTTAATATATCCAAATGTATTTATTCTTTTGTGAAAAAGAATACAATTCTACAAAATTGACTGACAGAATATATTATACATTCTAAAACACGCCAACTTCTAAATATCATAAAGGAAGGTTAATCACTGCCTTTTTTGAGCCCCGAAGAAAAAATTGTCTCAGATCGACCCGGAAAAAAAATTTCTTATAGAATGTGGCCTGTAGAATCCATAATTTCAAACAGTTCCAAGATTGGGCTACTAGTTCAAAAGTTACAGCCCTTTGAATTTTTTTCTAGTCTATAACTTTTGATTGAGAAGTCTGATCGAAAAAGTACAAATTGATTTGGATTCTACGCACCCAAATTAATAAGAAAAAGTGTTCTCTCGAGAAATTTTGGTGCGGTCGATTTTTTGGTAAAAAAGGAAGGTTAATCACTGCCATTTTTTGAGCCCCGAAGAAAAAATTGTCTCAGATCGATTGAGAAATGTACTTTCTTCTGTGGTCGTCCATCCGCAATCCACTTTTTGCACGTTTTTATCCAATGTCCCTTGTTTTTGCAATAATTACAGATATCATTTTCTTTTGACCTCTTTGATTTTTGGTATGTTTTGGATTTTCCGTTTTTTACAAACATTGCTTCTCCAGTGGCGCTGTTTGTGACTTTTCTGAAATTTCTTTCGTACATACACAATTGGGTCACTATACTGCATTCATTATAAGAAGGTTGTAGATGGCACTGTGTTTGAAGATAAACACACACAGGAAAAATATAAAACGGCACCAAATTATTGTAAAGTAGAAATATTCAGCACTACGAACAAAAATAAACCTTTGACAATAACAGCTAATGACACTTCGGCAGTTTAGTTGGCAACATAAACTAGCACCTTACAAAATTGACCAGTCGATTTATGTTTCATTGTAATACTGACTCATGTTTTAACCAATCACAGTCAAGGTCAAAGCTTCCCTATGCTTTCTACCGTTACCTTCTTAAAATGAATACAGTATAGTTCATCAAAAGTTTTTTCTTCGTTTTTCGACAATAACATCCAACTAGATCCGAAATTCTCGAAATCGTTTGGTAAAATTTGCAAAACTTTACAAACACGAGTAAACCAGGCAGTTCATTTTCTTCCTTGGATTTTAAACCATTGTTAAGCTCATTCCATAAGTTTCTCAATTTAGCAACATGGGTTGAAACATCCTCTCCATTAATCCAACTGAACGCAAAAAATTCTGTGCATATCTTAAACAGCTGATCTTTGGATGACGCCTCAAAATTCAATTTTAACGCTTCCCACGCATCATATGTGCTGTTTCTTTATCCATAATCTTTTAATAAACTGTGTCCGTCACTGAGCTCGATATCATGGATTTCGCCTATTCGCCTTATGAAATAAACCGCTTGCCTTTCTGTGATTAGCTTTGACTCTTTCATCTTGTTCGTTATCTGACAAAGTCTCAGGTTTGCAAAGCTTCTTCCGTCAATGACGTCCAGGGCACCCTCATGATAGTCCAGCAAGTCACGCATTTTTCTCTTCCAAATTGGCCAGTCTGCCTCACCAGCTAGGGGTTTGAATATCAAGGTAGGTATCCAAAAAGCACAATTAGAACATGTATTTATTCTTTTGTGAAAAGAATACAATTCTACAAAATTGACTGACAGAATATATTATACATTCTAAAACACGCCAACTTCTAAATATCATTTTTGTTTAAAATGGCAATTAGCATTTTTACTTTAACAATTATGTGAGCCCTGTATTGGACTGTAGGTCCTTTCTATTGAGAGCTGAAACGTTTTTTGTAACGAGTCATTGATGAATAATTTGACCTCTGCCGCTGATGCACCCTGTTCATCTCCCCGCACTGGTTTAGAAGATTATGTGGCTTTTGTGCAGGCCACAGGTCTTTGGCCCTATTGGCTTTCGCCTGGATCCTTGTTGTAGGTTTCTAAGGGCACAGAGGCTTGAAAGACGATGGCTCCACACTGTCCTTTTGTTTTGAATCATCTCTGTATCACTACGTAGAGCCCTTCCCAAAGCCAAGTTTATTTCTTTCGCAATCATCCATTTGTTTATACTGTACCTACTTGTACTTTATCGGCATTATGTCCAATGGGGAATCGGCCACATTCAGCCTATTGTTGTGGAGGCGAGGCCTTAGTGTCCAACGGCTGCTTCGATGGCCTCATGCGAGGTGTTATCGAATTAGCACCTTTTCAATTTTGTATGCTAAACTATATAATAGGTAGGGCCATGAATATTGATTTTTCATTTAGATAATAATAATAATAATCGTTAATTCTAAAAATTGTAAATAACAAGTACAGAAAGTCGTATTTTTATTAGGGATGAAGCGAATATTTTCTTAGAACCTCGCTTCCCAAGAACCACTGGACCATGGGTACGTTCTACAGAAGAGCATTGGCCAAACCGGCTTGGCAACCGATTCGTAGAAACGGGACTTTGTCTCTCCTTCGCCTTGGCTCCAATGGTATCCAAATTAGGGTCCGTCGAGAAGTTCTCTACTTTGATGTCCTTAAGGCGCGTCCCGAAAGGTTTGCTTTGGAGAACTTGATGGGATGGGACGGTTTTTTATGATTGCAAAATGCGTTTAATACGTTCATTGGTGTCATTTAATTAAATTACGCAATATGATATCAAGGTACTTGTAAAATAATCATTTCAGTATGTGCACAGTCATGGTGTGAGCGATATTTAAACGAGGCAACGTAATTAAGTGCACAATATAGTGTGCTAAATATGGCGAAGTTAGTGCCTCTGTTCATCACTTGCTCGGTTTTGATCCATGTGGCGAGCGCCGCTAGGATACTTGGCATTGTGCCGACCCCCTCCTACAGTCATCAGGTCGTCTTCCAGCCTTTGTGGCGCGAATTATCACTAAGAGGACATCACGTCACAACTCTAACGACAGATCCGATTAAAGATCCCGGGCTTACCAATTTGACCGAGATCGATTTGCATTTCTCCTACGAGGAGTGGAATAAGATGATTATGAAAAATGTACTGACTTTTAACGATAACATAATAGGAACAATATTGTCGTTTATCGACCACACGATGGACATGTACGAGCAACAGCTACGGCATCCTAGCGTGCAGGATTTGATCAAAGGCGACCACAGATTTGATTTGGTGATAATTGAAGGATTTGCACCTATGATGTCGGCTTTTGCCCAGAAGATTCAGTGTCCTTTTATTGCTATGATATCCACGGATGGATTCACTGACCAGTTCAAACAGGTGGGAAATCCCACGCATTTGGTTGTCTATCCGGATCTTATGCACGATTTTGATGTAGAACTGCCTTTTTTACAAAGACTGAAAAGTGTGGTCTTCGCATATGTGTTTCAGCTACTTGGCATATACGGCAATTATTTACAAGCTCGGCTCGTAGAGAAACATTTTGGCCCCAATTTTCCGGCCATAGACGATATCATGAGCAACGTAAGCATGCTATTTGTAAATGCTGACCCCGTCTTTCACAAAATCAGGCCACTGGTTCCCGCCGTCGTGCAGATTGGCGGAGGAACACACCTTCGACCTCCCAAACCGCTGCCTCCTGTAAGTATGGGATTGAAATAAGTACACAACTAAATTCTTTTGTAGCATTTACAGCAACGGTTAGACAGTGCGAAGGACGGTTTTATATACTTTAGCCTGGGTTCTAACGTTAAAAGCAAGGATATACCCGCAGAGACCCGCGCCATAATACTGGAGACATTCTCCGAGTTACCATACACAATTCTATGGAAATTTGAGGCAGAAAATCTACCCAATAAATCAGATAATGTGATCATTTCCAAGTGGTTACCTCAGCAAGACGTTTTAAGTACGTTCTACGTTTCGGGTTTAGATGACTTATACAATGTTGTTCGCAGGGCATCCCAATATAAAGTTGTTTATAACGCAAGGCGGTTTACAATCGTCAGATGAAACGATTTACACCGGCGTTCCGATAGTTGGTATGCCTTTTTTCGGCGACCAAATGGCGAACATTAAAAAAATGGTAGCGAAGGGCGTAGGACTATCGGTCGACTACACTAGCTTGGAGAGGGAGGACTTCAAGCGGAAAATTCAGGAAGTTATTCGCAATCCAAAGTATCGAAACAGAATAAAAGAACTGGCGGAGTTGGCGCAAGATCAGCCGATGACTGGGTTGGAGCGTGCCGTTTGGTGGTCTGAATATGTCATCCGTCATAAAGGTGCTCATCACCTCCGAAGCCCACTGTTGGACATACCTTGGTATCAGTATTTATTTTTGGACGTCATTGCAGTGTTGTTGTTTGTGTTTACTCTAACAATGTATATTTGTTATAAGTTCATTAGATCTCTCTTTTACCTTTTAAGACGCATCTTGTATAATCGGACCAAGAAATTGGTATAGGATTACGAAACAAATAAAGGTTTCATCAATCCCTTCACGTTTCAGATTAGCCCTTAGTAACGCTCCAACTGAACCATCGGCATTGTACTTGACCTTGAACAACCCACCGACTTCTTATCAGCCAGCCTATAGCTACTAGATCCCCAGTGTGATTGAATGAAGCCATGGTCAACAATACCGCCACTACACCTAAGTAATTAGGACAGAGACACTTAGAAAGACTTACCGCCTGAGAGTCAATTTGCGGCGAGTCAAAAGTTGCAAATCGTTGGTTTCAACAGGATGGTGCACCTGCGCATAACTACAGCCATACCGATTGGTATAAAAAGGTCCTATAATACAATCTCAAATATTTTTTAACTGCATCTCTGCGCACCTAAGACATATAGATCTAATAGAATTTAAGAATAAAATAAAAACATTTTTAAGTAGCCAATGCTTTTATAGCTATCAAGAATTTTTAACTTTTGATTTTACCTGTGATACTTCTAAACATTTGTTTAGATAAGTGACTGTGATATTTTTGACGATGTGTAAGTACTCCATGTACGTTAGCGTGAATATACAGTGTGTCCCAGATCGGGATGGGATTGCATGGGTAACTTTCTTATTATTAAAGATAGAGAATTGGTTAAATGGACAATGTTTTGCAGTTTTAGATGCTTATTGAAAATTTCGTTGTGGAAATGCAAAATGTGGAATAGGTTCGACGTAAATTCAAAAAAACTAAAATTGGTCATTTCCTTGAATGTCTTATATCATCGAAAGTGAAAGAGAGATAAAAAAAAGTTTTATATAAAAGTTACTGTCTTTGATACGCTTCATTTAGAATCGATGTTTAAAAAAATTCAAGATGGCTACTTTTGAGGAACATTTACCAACTTTCTAAAGTTAAATAAGCGCCATATTGCAGGATATTTATTTGATACATTTTTTAATTCTCTTTTCACCGAGCTATCATAGCATAAAATTGTAAATAAGATACCAGTTATATCAACGGTTTTTATATTTTAATCAAGTAGGCTGTGGTGAATTAAAAAAAAACAAAACAAAATCTATTCGAGGCAACAAAAGAATGAAAATAATTACTTCAGATGTTTAAAATACTGGCCGTTATTAGTGAAACACACTTCAAGACAGTTTACTTTAGGCAAAGTGTTGCCATTGATGATATAACACGCCTTAAAGGTTTCGTGCAGTTGTGTACGTTATTATTATTATTATAGTTGTAGCTACTTGCATGTTCTTTACTCTTTAATGTACAATGTACACAATTCGTGAATTGTGACCTGGGCAGCCACCTTGATTGTTGGTAGGTACCATAAACTAAACCTTTCTGCAAAACATAGGTTGTCTAGAAAATCCTTGAAGGAAGTTTATTGGAGAATTTGTAAATAATGGCGAGCAGTTAAAATTCTATCGAAGATTACCGGTCCAATTACATGACTTCCCATTATGTCACAAAATACATTAATTTAAAACCTTACTTGATTTCGGCGTGAAACTTCAACGTGTAGGTTTTCCTGTGACGAGTATAATGTTCATTATGTCGATTTGAACACTCCGCAGTTAGAAAAATAAGACTCATCTGTCCATATACTCGGACTGGTAAAACTCCAGTTAGTTTCGGATAAACCACTTACAAAATGTGACCTGGGACAAGGCATCAATGGTAACACATTGTCTAAAGTAAAGCGAAGTGTCTTTAAATGTGTTTAACTGGATAATCGCATGACATTTTTTTGAGGGGATAGTTTGTAGTTATACCACCATTTTGTAGGTATCTATTATAAGTATGGATAATACGATAGTCAATAAGTGACGTCATAAAAGTCAACATTTTTCTAGGCCTACTTATATAAAATTTTGGAGGGAGTTGTAACGCCCAAACCTCCGTTCCATGAGTGCGCCCCTGATATTTCAAACATCTGAAGTAATTATTTTCATTTTTTTGTTGCCTCGAATAGATTTTGTTTTGATTTTTTTAAATTCACCACAGCCTACTTGATTAAAATATAAAAACCGTTGATATAACTGGTATCTTATTTTCAATCTTATGCTATGATAGCTCATTGAAAAGAGAATTAAAGCAATAAGCATCTTAAGCTAACCAATTCTCTATCTTTAATAATAAGAAAGTTACCCATGCAATCCCACCCGATCTGGGAGACATTCAAGATGGCTACTTTTGAGGAACATTTACCATATATATATATGACATTTACCAACTTTCTAAAGTTAAATAAGCGCCATATTGGATTTTTAAATTATTTATGTATATTATTATTATTATTATTATACACTCGCTCCGTGTGAGGATTTGAAGTGTATAACAAAACAGACAAAATTCAACGAAAATCTGAAGGATTCAAGAATCGACGTTTGAAATAAATTTGTTTTATTAACATCAGTCTACTTCTAACTTTCTAAAGTTTCCGGTAACCCCGTACATAGAATCCTCATTTCCACAAGTGCCGCCACTGGCACGTAGTGCCGAAACGGCACCGTCTCTTTCCTTGCTGCTAAATAACTCCTCTTGCACTGCCATTTCATCGTGAGACAGTAAACGTGCGTTTTCATTCAGCAGCTCCTCTTTCCAGTTGTCTACAAGACACAAGTCGATAATACGTGAAAGTACCTAATTAGGATATTTTACCAATCATTTCGGACATGGGCGTCGTGCCTCCGTATTCCTTCGGTAGTATATCGAGTTCCATCGTTCCGCCCGCCAGAAACTCTTCGATGGTCGAGTAGAGCTTGATCCTTTTACGTATCTTCTCTGATATTAAGGAGATGCCGAATTCGTACGCAAACTTCATTGTAGGGTGTACGTTTAGGCCGTGAATTTCGATGTGCCTCGCAGGTACAGTTTTCTAGGTGACAAAAAACGTAAAAAAAAAAGTTCGCAGTCGGTAGGATTCGAACCTACGCTCCCAGAGGGAATCTGATTTCTAGTCAGACGCCTTAACCGCTCGGCCACGACTGCCTTGTATGAACAAGTTGTACTATATATATATATATATATATTTCAGAAATTTTAGTTTTCGGGCTCTCATTCCTCTTTTATTGGAACAAATAGTTATAAAAATTGTCTTCAAATTGAAAAAAATATATTGAGCAACACACGCACATTTTTAAAAACGTCCGCCCGTCTGTCTGATGTGAAAGAGTACTAATTTATTTTGAAAGTTAAATGATTCCGACATGGATATAAAGAAATGGAAGAATTTGAAATGAAAGAATCGAATCCATGAAGAAATGATAGGCCACAAATGGATCTTTCCCAGTTTTTGACAACTTTCTACTTAAAAAACGAGCCGAAACAGAGAACACCAGTACTTACCTCTCCATTTTTCACTAATCGAACCATTTCAAGCGGCGTGAACAACGTAACATAAGGCAGCCCGCACCCCTGTCCATCGGCCAAATAGACAAATCCCTTAACTTGATTCTCTTCGTCCTCGATCAGCGTTTCAAAGGCAATTCCCGCAATCTTCAGCATATCGGCATTCGTGTACTTCGACAGATCGAAGGCGCCTTAAAAATATAAAAATTGAGCCTCTCTTTTGCTATTCGGCGCGAGTGAACCAACCCGGCCTGATTATATACACGCGACGTCCATTCTTGTCGCGCTTCGGACAGACGAACAGAAAGCCGGTCTGCAGCAATTCGGTCATCTTCGGTATTTTAATGTCCATCTCGCGGAAGACCATTCCGTACGACTGCCTGAGAAGAAGGTACCGCTCCAGGGCGATCTGGGCTTGAACGACGCTGAACTTCGAAAAGCGCAGGAATCTGAGCAAAAAATTGGAGTCTGAAAATCGAAGTTTAAAAATTAACAGGAACTCGTTTATTATTGTTACGGACCTAGGCGACAGTTTAAAATTCTCGGATTGTGCGTAATCCAGTGTCTCATCGACTCCAAAGCTTGATCGCGTACATTTTTGTCTTCGCCCAGGGTGTCTTTGGCTATCTTTTGTGTATCCTCCGAAAGAGCACAGACGTACTCGTCGGCTTCGGATACCCACTTTCGCTCGCCCATCTATAAAGTTGATGATATAATCTCTCGACAGAGAAATTGGTAGGTGAAAGTAGGTTACGTAAGTAATGGTACTAGTTATATCACCGACTTACATTATTTTCTTCAATAGTTTGGCCCTTTATTTTAATTGTCTGCTTAATTGCGCGCGTTAATTGCTACAAACGCGATAAGCTCCTACACTTCAATTATTTCACGAAAAAATTTGCAAAAAAATTACGGAATCGACAAATTCTATGTTTAGATTACCAATGCAAACAATGCTGTCTAATAAAAATACTTACAATTATATTTATCAACAAAATAACACAAAGAATGGATACTTCGACTGTTTGCAAACGTGTGAATGAGACTTGTTACAAGGTAGCGTGTATATACTTAGTAAATTTGGTGCCCCCTCCGCCTTTCCAAAGAAAAAAAATTATGCTTAAATAATATGAATATAGCGTGGTGGCGTTATAAAATCAAATCATTCGTGTTTCATCATCTTCTACTTTCCTATAGGTAATTAGTTCCATTTGCCGGTGTATCAAATTATACTTCTTTTATATAATGGTACCCACAAAATTGTTTCCGAACACAGTTTTTATACGTCTTCACGTAACTAATCGTCTACATATGGCGCAATGAAATTCATTTTTGATCATGCTATCATGGTGAAATTGCAATTAGGTACGTTTCTTTCTATTATTATTATTGTTATTCAATTTTTGCTCGCTTGAAAGTTTGCTTTTCCGTGTTTCTGAGTCACGATGCGGAAGTGCAGTTCCCAAATGTACTGCTTTAATGAGAATGTCCAAAATAAGTAAAAGTCCCCTACCGAACAAGTGGGATTAAATGCTGCGTTCGCAGCTTTGTTCTGAATTTGAAGATCCTAAAGTTCAAGAGCCCCAAAAATACCTTTCTTTTAAAAAAAGACAAACGATCAGTGGCAGATTGATCGGGGAAAGTGAAGTATTAGGTCATAGGGATCGAGTCCAACCAAGACTATAAGAGGCTAAGGTCATTTTTGTTATACAGTCGCTTCCTTGGATCCAGATCATCAACAGAGCCTTGGAGACCGGGGTTCTCTAGATTTTGTTTTGTTTTTTTTTTTTAAATTCATCATAGACTACTTGATTAAAATATAAAAACCGTTGATATAACTGATATCTTATTTTCAATCTTATGCTAATGATAGCTCGTTGAAGAGAATTAAAAAATCTATCAAATAATCTAAAAATCCAATATGGCGCCTATTTAACTTTAGGAAGTTGGTAAATGTTCCTCAAAAGCAGCCATCTTGAATTTTTTTAACATCAATTCTAAATCAAACGTAGGTACCAAAGACAGTAACTTTTATATAAAACGATGGAACTCGATATACTACCTACCGAAGGAATACGGAGGCACGACGCCCATGTCCGAAATGATTGGTAAAATATCCTAATTAGGTACCTTCGCGTATTATCGACTTGTGTCTTGTAGACAACTGGAAAGAGGAGCTGTTTTGTTATACACTTCAAATCCTCACACGGAGCGAGTGTATAATAATAATAATATACATAAATAATTTAAAAATCCAATATGGCGCTTATTTAACTTTAGAAAGTTGGTTAATGTTCCTCAAAAGTAGCCATTTTGAATGTGTCCCAGATCGGGTGGGATTGCGTGGGTAACTTTCTTATTATTAAAGATAGAGAATTGGTTAAATAGACAATGTTTTACAGTTTTAGATGCTTATTGAAAATTTCCTTGTGGAAATGAAAAAGGGCGAATAGGTTCGACGTAAATTCAAAAAAACTAAAATTGGTCATTTCCTTGAATGTCTTATAACATCGAAATTATAAGAGATATAAAAAAAAGTTTTATATAAAAGTTATACTGTCTTTGATACGCTTCATTTAGAATCGATGTTTAAAAAAAATTCAAGATGGCTACTTTTGAGGAACATTTACCAACTTTCTAAAGTTAAATAGGTGCCATATTGGATTTTTAAATTATTTGATAGATTTTTTAATTCTCTTTTCAATGAGCTATCATAGCATAAGATTGAAAATAAGATACCAGTTATATCAACGGTTTTTATATTTTAATCAAGTAGGCTGTGATGAATTTAAAAAAATCAAAACAAAATCTATTCGAGGCAACAAAAGAATGAAAATAATTACTTCAGATGTTTAAAATATCAGGGGCGCACTCATGGAAGGGGGGTTTGGGCGTTACAACTCCCTCCAAAATTTTATATAAGTAGGCCTAGAAATAGTTGACTTTTATGACGTCACTTATTGACTATCGTATTATCCATACTTAGATACTTACAAAATGGTGGTATAACTACAAATTATCCCCTCGAAAAAATGTCATGCGATTATCCAGTTAAACACATTTAAAGACACTTCGCTTTACTTTACACAAATGTGTTACCATTGATGCCTTGTCCCAGGTCACATTTTGTAAGTGGTTTATCCGAAACTAACTGCAGTTTTACGAGTCCGAGTATATGGACAGATGAGTCTTATTTTTCTAACTGTGGAGTGTTCAAATCGACATAATGAACATTACTCGTCACAGGAAACCTACATGTTGAAGTTTCACGCCGAAATCAAGTAAGGTTTTAAATTAATGTATTTTATGACATAATGGGAAGTCATGTAATTGGACCGGTAATCTTCGATAGAATTTTAAATGCTCACCATTATTTACAAATTCTCCAATAAACTTCCTTCAAGGATTTTCTAGATAACATATGTTTTGCAGAAAGGTTTAGTTTATGGTACCTACCAACAATCAAAGTGGCTGCCCAGGTCACAATTCACGAATTGTGCGTACATTGTACATTAAAGAATAAAGAACATGCAAGTTAGCAAGTAGCTACAACTATATAATAATAATAATAACGTACACAACTGCACGAAACCTTTCTAAAGGCGTGTATATCATCAATGGCAACACTTTGCCTAAGTAAACTGTCTTGAAGTGTGTTTCACTAATAACGGCCAGTATTTTAAACATCTGAAGTAATTATTTTCATTCTTTTGTTGCCTCGAATAGATTTTGTTTTGTTTTTTTTTAATTCACCACAGCCTACTTGATTAAAATATAAAAACCGTTGATATAACTGGTATCTTATTTACAATTTTATGCTATGATAGCTCGTTGAAAAGAGAATTAAAAATATATCAAATAAAAATCCAATATGGCGCCTATTTAACTTTAGGAAGTTGGTAAATGTTCCTCAAAAGCAGCCATCTTGAATTTTTTTAACCAATTCTAAATTAAACGTACCAAAGACAGTAACTTTTATATAAAACTTTTTTTTATATCTCTTATACTTTCGATGATATAAGACATTAAAGGAAATGACCAATTTTAGTTTTTTTGAATTTACGTCGAACCTATTCCGACATTTTGAATTTCCACAAGGGAATTTTAAAAAAGCATCTAAAACTGCACTGTCCATTTAACCAATTCTCTATCGTTAATAATAAGAAAGCTTACCCATGCAATCCCACCCGATCTGGGACGCACTGTAGGTATATTTATTTATTTATTTGTTTAACCAGAAACCATACAGAATAAAGTCCTCCATAGCTTAGATCAACTGTTGTTTAAATGGCAGCTGGGTAAAGAGCTACTACGCAAAAATCAAAATGTAACAACCTCGCAAAGATGGCAAAACTACAACCGCAAAAACTAATATAAACTGTACAGTACCTTAAACTCCATTCTGTAGGTTCGGTCTACGTAGATGGAAATTCGCCCCACAAATAATACCAATGTGCGCTGAGGTAGAACGATGATGTTTGTAATTAGTCGATGGTCTTCCAAGTAGTATTTCTCTTCATCAACAGAAAATGCCTTCTACAGGTGATAATGTGCTAGTTCATAAATACGCTCTTGCCTATGTCATTAATTGTCTATTTACCGCTGCTTATCAATTTAGATCAGTTCTCAAACTAAAATCATTACAGATACAATAAATAAATACTTTCACAACATGATTTTAATACACTAACAATAAATACCACTTAATAGAAATGTATTAAGTACATAAATTATACATTTTTGGCACAAAAGACTATAAGCACATTTATAAAAATAGGGTACATCACAACGAAATATTTGGCACTATTTAAAGTAAAACAATAGCGTGATCACGTTCTAAACGTCGTTTGGCTTTTAACGAAACGGTGCCCATCGGGTCGGCGGGTGTCGGTAAACCTGAAGCGCCGGCGGTGCTCTGCTGATAAAAGACCTCCGTTTTCCCGCAATGGTGGCCGTAGACGATTATATCGTCGTTTCTGAAAAGAAGAAAGTTAGCGAGCGTCATTTTGGCAAAATTGCTGTATACCGTATCTAGTCTGAGCGTAAATATTCAACATTCTATTAATGGTTTGAAAGGGCACTTTGTTTAACTCGTCCCAGTATCTCAACATCGCGCGGGACATCGCGAAGTTGACCACGCCGAGCATTAACCAGAAGATGATTGCAAGTTTTCCGTCCTCGCCCTTAGTAAAGAAAACATCTTTCGCGTGGATCTCGTAGAAGATTCTAACGTAGGCGTACACGAGAACGTAAAGCACATTGATAAATCCGATGTAACCGGCGCACACAATAATCGGAGTGAGCAGGTACTTGTTCGAGTACCTCACGCCGCAGAAGTACGGAAAGAGGGGCAGCAGTGCCATTAGCTGAAAGCCCAAGTATATGGCGTTTCCTCGACCGTACTCGTGAAAGGCGCAATCGAACATGTGCGTGAGGCACACGCCGAGCAAGTTGAAGAGCAGATAAACGAAACCCATGGCGAACGCTGAAGACTTCAACATTTTTGTCAACTGTCAAAATTTCTCACAGGTGACTTGATCAGATCAATCCGGATGTTTATTGTAAAAAGAAATCGCCATAATTTTTTGTTCAAATCACACCAGTCAGATAGACGCATTTTCTGCGGATGGATATTCATACAATCCTACACAATTTAACCGTTTTTGATAACAATGATTCAATATACAATTTTTTCGGTATCCAATGATCTTTACCAACAATACAAGTCAATTTCTTCAATGAGACGAATACGTAAATGCGAGTCTTACAAACAAATAGAAAACAACACCAATATTAAACACGAATTGAATTGAACTGATGAGACGTGCGATGTATCAACAGAAGAGCTGATCAATTCAATATGCATTGCTCTTAGTCGTGGAAACAGAAGTTTGATGGCTGAATTTGAGAGACTCTGTGGCCTCCATTAACTTCAGAAAATTGCAAATAGTTTATTATATCTAGGACGCGAGTGAAAAATCTATCTGGGTCGCGCAAAGGATTCGAATAAACACACAATTAATTGATTGACAACAGAGCTGGGCAGTAGTCGATTTTGTAAATATTTTTTAGTATTCAAATCCTTTAAAGTATTCATATACTTTGTAATTAAATACTTTTATGAAAGCAGTATTTGTATTTGTAACTCACATACTTTCACAAATATTCAGTATTCGAATACTTGGCATAGTATTTGAATACTTAACTTTCCTTTTTTACCAAAAATCGACTACACCAAAATTTCTCGGGAAAACACTTTTTCTTATTAATTTTGGTGCGTAGAATCCAAAACATTTCGTACTTTTTCGATCAGACTTCTCAATCAAAAGTTATAGACTAGAAACCAATTTCGAAAGAAAATTCAAAGAGCTGTAACTTTTGAACTAGTAGCCCAATCTTGGAACTGTTTGAAATTATGGATTCTACAGGCCACATTCTATAAGAAAATTTTTTTCCGGGTCGATCTGAGACAATTTTTTTTTCGAGCCTCAAAAAAAGGCAGTGTATAACCTTCCTTTTTTTACCAAAAATTGACTGCACCAAAAAGCAGTAAAAGTAACTAACGATTAGAACTTGTCCCGTCGTTGGTGCTTTTAATAACCTGCTAACTTCACGGACCTCACAACCAGGGATAGGATCATCAAGCGTTCCTTTGCTGGGGGGGGGGGGTAATTCCATACCCCCCACACTCCGGGTATTACGTATTCTCCCAAATTTTTAGGACGATAAGCATTCCTATCATTATTTTGTAGGGAGTGCCGTTATATTTTCTTTTGGTGACTCAATAGAACGGAGGAGAACGTACTATCGGGGGGTCTAGAATACCCCCCCAACAGAAATTACCTTCTCCCTAGGCTAGCGCCACTATGAAACTTGCGTTATCAAAACTGTCGGCAAATATTCAATGCCTCAGAGAGGGGGGGAGTATTTCATAGCATCCAGAGTCCCCGGTATTATGTACGTACATATTACGTTCATTGGGAATGTAGTCGGAAAGTATAAAAGGAACACACGTACAATGTTAATTGGGCCGGTGACTTAGTGCCCGCCCTTAATATCTTGAAGAATATGTTGCGCACTAACGAAAAATGCGCAAACAAAATTAATTGGGTACAACATTGAAAAGGGCAGGGCCAGCGAAACTTCAAGGAGCGAATTCGCCGCGATTCCTAAAGTCACTCGATATAGAAAGTACCCCAATCATCCGCGATTTTTGGGCAAATTTGCTGCCAACTTAAAAAAATTGACAAATAAAATCTGAATAGCTGTAATTTTTTATAAGCTAACTTCATAGTACTGTCAAAAATATATACAGATATCTCCAAACAGGTGGAACAATCCCTAACATTAAAGTTACTAAAATCTGGTAACTTCCGCCATTTTTGGGCAAAAATCATGCATTCTCTTTCTAACACACGAGCTCAATGGATTGCGGTACTTTCTATATTTAGTGACTTTAGCGATTCCGTTGCGCGTACTACTTTAAATTCGCGCGATGCTTGTGGAGGCAAAGTATTGGTGCCTAACGCGTATGAATTCGCGCGTGACTACACGCCTAATAGTGCCCTTCACGGTGAAACGTAATGGTACTTCTATTTTTACACGTTACGCTCCTCTAACGGCTTACCTTACAGTAATTTCGGTCAGATTCTGGATGTTTATAAAATCGCGATGTAAATGCGTCAGCATCCCTAATTCCATTGCGCCCCACGGACCACCTCGTCGGACATTATCCCACTGAGGGTCCATACACAAATAACTGTAAGGTTCGGTAGTTTCGCTCTGGCTGCTGCCGCCGGAATACGATTCGAGGCAGTGCCGCAACTGACGCTCCAATTTTCCGAGGGACTCGGTGCACCTCTCCCACTAGAACTGTTCGTCACCAGACGATAATTATGATCACATACTCACCAGCTCATTTACGGTTTCGGTACAGTGGCGTACGCTCTCCTCCAATAAAATTCCCATAACCATATCTTGTTGGCCACAAATAAAAAGCACAGCCTTATGCAGGGTGGTATCGGGGACGTAGTCTTCGGACACGCTGGACTTGCGTCTGCTCAAAAATGAGTAGTTACTTTGGCTCGGCGTAAACCGCAAGTCGCGGTCGCCCGGAGTTGTGTCCTTGCTACAAAAACCACTGGACCGATCCTCCATTGCTAACAAACTTAACTTAGACATGAGAGGCGTCAGTTGCACCCCTCCGTTCGGACGATTTAAAATACCATTCTCGGTTTCGGACGTTAACGACTTTAAGGGTAAAGTGAGCGACTTACGGTTCTCCTTCGACTTCGACGTCGCCATCAATTTCTGCAGCGTCTTAATCGGCGACATCTTTCGCGAGTCGCCCTTCTTCGGCGATTCCTCCTTACGATGCGCGTCAGAGCTCTCGATCACATTAATAAACGGCTCCTCTAAGTACTGCCGATACAAAAAGTTGGAAACCGCCAGGCCGTTCGGTTTAAATATGGGATGGTTCGGATCCGAAATCGTCTTATGGCGGACCAACTTCGGGACGCACTCTAATTCCACTTCGACGCCACCTAAACTCGACAAACCCAAACTATAATAACGCATCGTTATTCGTTTATTAAAAATCTTTAATTTCTCTCGCAACTCCCACATGCTAGCGCTTCGTTTCCTATCAAATACATTACTTTCGGGAACGTAAGGTACGCAACTATCAAATTTATCTGTCATGTTTATCGACGTTCTCGTCTCGATATTGACGAAGCTCTCTTCGGGATTAACGCAAATTGACATGGGATTGTTGTGTAAAACCTTATTTAGATCGGTCATGGGAGTCGAGCAAACGCTCGTCTGGCCGAAAAACGGCGTACCACTTGCAGTGGTCGGAACCTTGACGTCCGTCGTCTTCGACTTGAGATTGAGAAATTTCGGACGATCGGGCGATTTGTACTCGTGCGCGTTCGAAGGCGAGTGATCGCCGTCCTCTTCGGGTACCGTCGTGAATATCAGTGACTGATCGCGTTTCATCGCGGATAAGATCGGCTCTCGGGTTGTCACTTTTGATGGCTAAAAAAAGTGGAGGGAGATAAGTCGGAGGAAGCCTGAATGCAATAAGGCTATGAATGTGTATGAGAAGAGATTGTACAGGGTGGCCAACTAAGAATGTGAGGTACTGTATCTGAGAATCTATCCAGCGTAGAGGCTCGCGGTAAAAAAATTTATTATTAAAACGGCCACGAGCAAAACCTGGAAAATATTTTTAAGTTTCTGAAATGACCGCTAGGGGGCGTAACTGCAATCGGGAATCTAAAGTCACTAGATATAGAAAGTACCGCAATCATCCGCCATTTTTGGGCAAATTTGCTGCCAACTTAAAAAAATTGACAAATAAAATCTGAATAGCTGTCATTTTTTATAACCTAACTTCATAGTACTGTCATGTTTTATAAAAATATATCTTAGACCATATAGTACATGGACTGCTATTTGTAACTAAAATATGGTCAAGGACATCGCCTGGGTATGTGAGTTTCAGGGTAAACGAGTCTGTCCGAAGTTTTCCGATGAGACACGATTTGAGACTGTCAACCTATAAATTAACAAACGTCAAATAATTAATCGCCTAGATATCCCAAAAAAGGCAAACTTATTCTTATTTGGGGACGTATAGCAAATAATGAAGAGTATTTAAAGCTTCCCGTACTACGCGGTTACTATAAATCTGCTCTTTACGCGATCCGAGTGGTGTTCATACGACTTTAGTTTACCCTGAGATTCACATACCCACGACTACAGTGCCCTCTATCCGTGACCACCCATTTTGTATTGAAAGCATAGGGATAATAGCAGTCCATGTACTATATGGTCTAAGAAATATATACAGATATCTCCAAACAGGTGGATCAATCCCTAACATTAAAGTTACTAGAATCTGGTAACTTCCGCCATTTTTGGGCAAAAATCATGCGTTCTCTCTCTAACGAGCCCAATGGATTGCGGTACTTTCTATACAGGGTATCTATAAAAGAACTCCGGGGTTTTAAGACAAAATATTTTAATACAGTAAAAAATGTACATACATGTTTTATACATGATTAGAAAGCTTACATTTTCAAGATTTTGTAACAACTTAGTAAAGTTCAATGTGAGCTCCGTTAGTTAGTTAGTCCAGACGACACTGACTGCCTGCCGCAGCCGTTACGTCATTTCACGGTCAACGCTCCGCAGCGCTGCCAACTGTTGAGAGAAACATTCCCAATTCGTATGAGTAAAACTCTTTGAGCTGCTTGTTTCAAAGGAATTGATCAAATTTTGCTATCTTTTATAGTTTAAAAAATATTAATTTTTTAAACCCCGGAGTTCTTTTATAGACTCCCTGTATTTAGTGACTTTACGGGAATCTAAGAAAGTGATGTTTCTATGAATTCCGCTATATTAACCTAACAAAAAAATGTCCGGTCTTTGAAGTTGACGATAATCTGAACAATTTTTGTTTGACAATTTTTCCTGTATCTCTAAAAATGAAGTGGTGGGGGGTATTCAAAGGTTTCCGTAAAGAACACCCTGTATCTTCGAAACGGCTGGACCGATTTAAACAAACTCGGGTTAGTTCAAAAGAGCTATTCTTCAGCTACAAATATTATACTATTTGAAGTTTTGTTAGTTTCACATATCACCGCTTGAGGGCTTTTTTCGACGTTCCGACAGAAATGGTTAATTTTATCAAAAAAGTTAAATGCATTGGTTCGATTTTTTTTTCATTCATTTTCATTTTCATTTTCAGCATCTCGAGATCTTGAGATATATTTATATCGTGATGGCCAGCATTTCGACCATTTACGGCGGCATTAAAAGCTTCCTTTTTTAAATCGATCCACCTTAGGGCCACAAATTATATAATAAAAATAATTCCGGAAAAATTAGCTTAAAAAAATAAAATTTTGAGGTACAAACTTTTCTTTGGCCTAAATTTTAGGTTAGAAACAAAATATCGAGATGCGGTTTTCGCGAGCTTGTTTAGGTATCATTTAGCAACTTTTTCATTTTAAAAAAATCAAACCAACGCATTTAAATTTTTTGAGAAAATTAACCATTTCTGTCGTAATGTCGAAAAAAGCCCCCAAGCGGCGATATACCAAACTAACTAAACTTCAAATATTATAATATTTGTAGCCGAAGAATAACTCTTTTCAATTAACCCGAGTTTGTTAAAATCGGCTCAGTCGTTTCGAAGATACAGGGTGTTCTTTACGGAAACCTTTGAATACCCCCCATCACTTCATTTTTAGAGATACACGAAAAACTGTCAAACAAAAATTGTTCACATTATCGTCAACTTCAAAGACCGGACATTTTTTGTTAGGTTAATGGCCCATATGAATAAAAGGAAGCAAATGCTTATACTTGCAAAATTCAAAGTAAATACTCGTAAGTGCTCCTTTACACTTGACGACTTAGCAGCGCTGCTGAGCAGCAGGACAGGGTGCAGTGCAGCGCTGCTAAACAAACCAGTATGAAGGGGGGCACTTACGAGTATTTACTTTGAATTTTGCAAGTATAAGCATTTGCTTCCTTTTATTCATACGGCCCAATATAGCGGAATTCACAGAAAAATCATTTTTTTCGATTCCAGATTGCAGTTACGCCCCCTAGCGGCCATTGCAGAAACTTAAAAATAATTTCCAAGTTTTTCTCGTGGCCGTTTTAGTAATAAATTTTTTTACCGCAAGCGTCTACGATGGACAGGTTCCCAGATACAGTACCTCGCATTCTTATTTGGCCACCCTGTACAATACAAGGAGCCTATCCGCTGCCCCGTATATGACACCCTTAATTTTTAATCAACACCTAACATAATCCTGGGTACAAAAAGAAAAATTGAGAACAAAAATAAATCAATAAAGCTGAAACGCTCTCGAGGCCTGAGGACAAATATCATGCACTTGCGATCGATTGAAACAAATTAAATTTAAAAGAAAATTCTAATTACCTTTCCCAACATCCGGTCATAACTGCGACTTTAACAGACGCACAAAAACACAAGCACCAACTGTTGTTGCTTCGAGATCTTCATTTGCTTTCACTCGATTTAAATAAACTGAGTGAGTTGTAACTTCAAATGGAATAGTGGCTTTTTGGTGGTGGTTAACTTCACACGTCAGGAACTTAAAAATTACCCACTTACGCAATAACTGCTCGATAGACACTCAACTCGAACTAGAACACTCACTTTCATTAAATGTCATCTAAACTTTCTTCTACAAGAACTTTACAACCACCAAGACTGACTGTCTTTCACAAAAAAAAACCGTTTAATGTCCGCTACGCCTGTTTAACTCATTTTTTCCGATCCTACTTTTTTATCAATATCCACCAATCAAATCCCCTTTAGCAATCAGTAAAACATCGAAAGAAAAACCGCCGGAGCCCCCACTCGTACCAAAATTACCGCCGTCTTTGATAAACAAACACCTTACGACGAACACCTGTTTATCTTCAAATTAATTAGCTTTCACGGAACGATAAAGAACTCCTTATCGCAAAACCGTACTTAACCGATTAACTTTAAAAAAACACAACACAATTGTCCCTAATCTTTTCAAACGCAATCTAACTAAAAAATAAAACAATCAAGCACAGGGCGTCCAATTAAAATTAACAACATTTAACTTAAAAAAAAATTATACAGGGTGACCCATCATTACTATAGGTGCTGATACCATAAAAACGCCCAGATGACGTAGTTTGCATAACAATTTCTAATATAATTGGCATATTCACGCATAAAGGACCCCAAGCTCACTCAAGACTTACCTTTCTTAAATTAATCTTATTTAAATACTGCGAAATGGATTTGCTCTTACTGGCGTCCTCGTACAAATTACGATAGTCCTCGTGAGCTATATAAACCTGCAACAGTTGGACGCCAAGTGGCAATGACAAATTCAAATCGAACATCTCGGCCGGCGACTTAATACGATACGGATCCGTTAAGACTAGCTTCTTCGTTAAATCGGAACTTAACTGTGTGGCGACGACTCTAAAACGAACGGAAGCAATTACACCTAGTCGAGCTCGTTCCGCTCCTTACTTGTTGTGATACAGAATTGTACCGCCCAAAACGCAATTCTTCTGCTGACAACTTTCCAGCAACTGTATGGCCTCCAAAAATACGTGACTGGCGCTCTAAAACGTAAGACAATTAAAAAATCCAACCCCAAGTGAGCGTAAACCTTTGGTAATTGAATTGTAGGAATGTTAAAGAACATGTGGCCCCCGTACGTCAGAATTTTTAAGTACGTTTCAAACATATGGTACAGTTTCGCTGACAAGCTCGCGCTGCCTTGGTACAACTCGGCCATTTTCAACAGATCTTGATGGTAAAACGTGATTAGCGACCTGAGTAGATCCGCCCTGTGCTCGAGCACCCAGTCGGCGATGTTACGATCGGTACCTACGGCCTAAACTCGCATAGACTTCGTTACAGACTGCGCACCACAAACCATTAGATATCGACCGTAGGTGTGTATGAAAAACTTCCCGCTCTGCAAGGCGAAAATGCGAGGAGAGCTGAACGTCGTACGTAAAAAGTGAGAGGATCCGATTATTTGACCGCACAGCGCCGTACGTTGCTGATCGGAGACCCAACCGGGATGAAAGTATAAGATAGCGGATGCGGGATCGTCCTCCTCCCTTTGTAGCAATTCCGTGTCGTACACGAAAATGATTATCATCTCCCTGAAACAGACAGAAGGAAGGTCTCTTGACAAAAAAACAAATTTCACGATCTTACTTCGCCATCTTTGGGTCTTTTCTATTGACGAGTGGTGAAAGTGTAATAAATATTTATCTCGGTAATAAACTACATGATTAACAATTAAGTATTGGTTAATTACGCTGCCTTTTTTTAAATATCACAAATTTTATCCTAACCTAGAAATTTCAAAGTGAAATTGTAAACAGCCGGTCACTGACAGCAGGTGCTGACCGTACCAACCGTAATCAAACACGACCGAAAATTCCACCAAAAAAATTCAAAAAATGTAAAAAACTAGAGTGAATTGATACAAAAGCAAAACCGCAACACTTATTTTATTTCGTTTTCCGATCTCATTACTTTATAATTAATAAAAACCGAGTAGGATAGAGCAATTCAATTACCAAATGAACAGGTCAACTTCAGTTGCGGCTTGACTTTAGTAATGTAGAATATTTTAGTAATTTCATTTGTTCATTGAATTAAATAATTCGCAGATTGGAGGAATTGGGCCCAGCCGACGACCGACTTGCTTCGTCCTTTTCTTCTGCAACCACCCGCGCAGTATCCCTTAATAATCCTAAAGAATTTTTCCAAAAACTGTATCTGCGACGGGCCTTCACTTAAATAATTTCCCTCGGTTTTTGAGTGTTAGTTAAACCCGCCTTTATTTTTAGTAACTTTTGTGATATTTTGTTGGTACTTGAGTTGGAACCAGTTGAACACGCTTATCTTTAATATCGTTCAGTTTTCCGGTTTTCATAAAAGAAATGAATAGTATACTAAAAACGGCAACGAGAATTAATCTCAGAAGTTTGCTGAATTCATCAAAAAATGCGTCCTCAATCAGTGCAAAAGCCCAGCAGTCCTCCCGCAATTTATGGTGCCTGGCCGCCTCCTCCGCCACCACCAGGCGAGACCTAACCAAGTACAACACCTCGAAATTTCAAACCCAACTATGCAGTTGCGGTGCCCACACTAAAGGTAATCAACCACTCGCCTTAAACGCGGTAAAACAGTTTTCCCCTCTTTAGCGGAAAAGGATTTGGTCGAATTTCTCACGGAAGAAATCGTGGCAGAACGCAAAGCCCAAAAATCGAAAACGATTCCAACAGATATCGACGGTTTCAAAGCGAAACTCGACGGCGCAGAGGTCACACTTACAAAAACCATAAATGACGAAACGTAGGTAGTCCACTCGGTCGACGCTTGACACTTAACTAAATCTCGCAGGATCAAAATACATTTCAATGTCAATCACACTGTCGACACGGACGCGGAACCCGAAATAAGCTCGACCGCCGACAAACCCGACATCGGGGAGTTAAAGTCGAAACCGTCCTTCAAAATTGATATGGTACGCGACGACACCACCGTCAGCCTCGTCTGCTCGTTCATCAACGCCGATCAACAGGAAGACGGATACAATGACATTTTCGGTATTGACGAGGTCAGTATTTACAACGGCGATTGGAACGAAAACGTGTATTCAGTATCTGGGGAGGTTATAGACTCGGTAAGTGTCGGTTGTTTTGTTTTTATTATTGAGCCGTTTGTTTTAGTATCTGTATGATCTGCTGTTGAATTATTTGGACGAGAAGGGAATTACGAACGAATTTATCGAGAAATTGTCCGGGTACAGCACTGCGTATGAGCATTCGGCTTATATTAGCCTATTGGAAGGTTTATCCAAGTTTGCTTCTGGGAAGTAGGCTATCTTTTTTTTAATTTTTTAATGTGAGCCTGTAGAAATAAATGTAAAAAACGCTATTATGTTTTTTTATTAAATACATACTCTAATTATCTGTTATATACTTACGCTGGTCGTGCACATTGTTTTCATTATTATCGATACAAAACCAATTACACGAACCGAACAATAGTCAGCTTTTCTTCGGGGGGACTTTACGCTCGGAGTTGGTCCCTAGCAAGTCTTTTTCGACTTCTTGAATCTCTATGTTCTGTTCCTTCATTACCTTCTACAACAAGTTTTGTACCTCGCACTCTTTTTACGGTCCGAACTTACCTTAACGCAGTCTTGATACACTCTAAACAAGGGTTCGCACATGGAATCGTTTGTACGTCCCTTGAGGAATTGTTCCGAAAACCATGTATTAAAGCAAGCGTCATATTCGTCTTTAAGCGGTTTGCAGGCGTCCCCTATGCTATTCATTGTTAAATTTTAATTTCAAATTAGCGGAGGAGCCTTTCAGCATGCCAGCGCGCAATTTTAGGTTAGGTTTGGTACTTTCAATTGTGCAATGTTACGAAAAGAGAATTGCTGCTACACAACTGCATAATCGGTTTCGATTTTTACATTAGCCGATATTTATTATTACAAATGATAAACTGGCGAGGAGAGAAATAATTTAGAAGACAAGGTATCGATATTTAAATTGTGAAACGTCATGCAACGTCGCATGAATACCTACCACCAATGTATATGTTATACCATGCTACTATAAAATACCTACCTCATTCCAATTCGTAAGCAACATCAGCTTGTATTGTACTGTGTGCGAGGGTGGGTACCTAATCCCCTTAAGGATTTTTGTGCTGTCCATACTCCTTTTAGCCAATGGTGCTCTGAGGTTTGGTTCCTCTATCTCGTGCAGTTCAGCTTGTCCCCGTCGAGATCATTTAGCCCTCGTAAAATACTATAAAACAGACTTGCTATAAAATTAAAAAAGTGTATCGATTACCAAGAAGATGGCGATCTTGTACATATCATCCATAGATATATAAATACATAGATACAGCCATACCCCAACATAGTTCAAAAGGACGTACCATCTATTACCATCACTTTCGGCACATTAATTACGTATAGCGCTATCCTTTATAGAGGTACCCTGAGCATGGAAGACAAGATTCGCATTATTTATTATAGCTGTCAATCAAATTGTTAGCACAAATCACACAGAAAATTATCAGATTTGAGACTTTACAACATAAATAAACCGCCTTTTTATTTATTTAAATCGCATAGCAGCAAGAAATGTTACATTTAAAATGGAAGATGTTACTTAGAAAGCTGGAAAATGACGAATTTGAAAAAATTACAGCTGACAAATGGAAGAAAGTGTGTGAACATGTGGAAAGTGATTAATTTAAAAGAGAAGTTATATTGGTTGATGTTTCTGAACTTTATAATAAGTGTTAATAATGACAGTGATGATTCGGATTTGTCAATTTCATCTGACGATGATTCGGATTGTGAAGTTTTATAAACGTAATGAATGTTCACTAAATGAGTATTATCACCAATTGGATATCATTGCTAAGATGTTGTATTTATTTTAAATAAATGTACACGTGTAGCTTACTTACTACAATTAGCACTATAATTTCAAAAAGAAACCCACCGATTGGACATATGCCGAAAGGTAGGCAAGACGCGTAGCGACCAAAATTTGATATTGCACGCACACACAGTCTATAAATCTCGTTTTCCTAAGAATATTGCACGGATCCTTCTTTGTGATCATGATACAAACGCACTGCATCAACATCATATAGGCCAAAATGATAATTGGAAACGAATTCACTTCCTGTCGCAACTTAATCTCCATAACCATTACGCCTACAACCATGCAATTAAAATTAAATTGTTGAACATAAACTTTACTTACTTACGGTTTTTTTTGATATTCTGCAAGCCAGCAATGAATTCACTGCAGCACATCATGCCAAACAAGGTAAACATAGTCCCAAATTTGAATGGCGTAGCTCTATGTAATAAAACTATTTCAGGAATAACAATTATGGACGCGTCTATCATTATGGCAAGCACTAATGTTATTCGTATTCCATTGATAACGCAATAATTACATAATATTTAGTGAATAAACCGGCCATTTAGTTAGATTTGATTTCGCGCGATCGTGAAATGTGTCAACTGTCACATGACTTATGGGACGCGCTAAGTTTGTTTTAAGCGTCCGATTCGCGTACGACATAGAAGTTAATGCAATAAAAAGAGATAGAACATGTTTCTTCTTGGTTAGAAAGTAATGGAGAGATGTACAAATTTCTTTGATATGTTTTTTAAAAACCGAGGTACGTTTGTTAAGGATGGCTGTATCTAGGTATTTATATATCTATGATATCATCATTGAATTTATCAATGATATGATATTATATTTAAACTAATTAATCAAAAACCGGAGCATTGAACTACAATTGCTCTACAGTTTTTGCAAGACTCCCTCCATCTTGAAGTGCCATTTAAGGAAAACTAAGTCCAAGGCGGCTATTAATCGCATAAATTCAAAAGCAATTTCAAATGAAATTACGTACGTGGCGACATCTCAACTAAACTTAAAATACTATAAAATGAAAAAAGTGTATCGATTACCAAGGAGATGGCGCACTTGAAGCCTTTATATTTTAACTAATTTTTCAAAAATCTGGTCATTGAAGTACAATTGCTGTACAGATCTTGTCCGTACATTTTTAACTGCCATTTTACTACCTATACTCTGCGTTTTCCCAGTGTCCTTTTAAGCATTATGTTAGATGTTAGTGTACCTCTCCGTGCTTTCTCTTGGGCCATTTCTGGACTTTGGGACTCTTGTCTACTTGTCCAGGACTTCCTACGACCCCATTCCTCCTGACAGCTGCCTACTTTTGCCTAGGAATTCTGCACCGCCAAGCGCCGTTTAACTGTCGTCAGGTTCTCACTCAGATGACAACTTAAAAGAATCTATAAAAGCTGCCTTTTCCAGTACCACCTTTAGGCAAAGAGTAGTATAAGTATTCTTGCCTTTAGGCATAGAGTAAATTCTATGCTTTAGGTAGTTTCCAAAAATTGAAGGAGGTTTCCAACCACCTCCTTCAACTCCTAAGGGTCTGGTCGTTCTCGCACGAGATGATTCGGAGATTGGTCATTGGTGAGGTTGGGTTAGAGTATACTAGTTAGGTCAGCTCAAAAATCTTGTATCAGGAGAATATAATGTGCGAGGAGATTAAGGTTAGGAAAAATTTTTAGTGAGGTTAGGTTAGGGTGAGAGGTTTGATTGAGAGGTCTAATCGAAAAAGTACGAATTGTTTTGGATTCTACGCACACAAATTAATAAGAAAAAGTGTTTTCCCGAGAAATTTTGGTGCAGTCAATTTTTGGAAAAAAAGGAAGGTTATACACTGCCTTTTTTTGAGACCCGAAAAAAAAATTGTCTCAGATCGACCCGGATAAAAAATTTTCTTATAGAATGTGGCCTGTAGAATCCATAATTTCAAACAGTTCCAAGATTGGGCAACTAGTTCAAAAGTTACAGCCCTTTGAATTTTTTTTCGAAATTGGTTTCTAGTCTATAACTTTTGATTGAGAAGTCTGATCGAAAAAGTACGAATTGTTTTGGATTCTACGCACCAAAATTAATAAGAAAAAGTGTTTTCACGAGAAATTTTGGTGTAGTCGATTTTTGGTAAAAAAGGAAGGTTATACACTGCCTTTTTTTGAGCCCCGAAGAAAAAATTGTCTCAGATCGAGCCGGAAAAAAATTTTCTTATAGAATGTGGCCTGTAGAATCCATAATTTCAAACAGTTCCAAGATTGGGCTACTAGTTCAAAAGTTACAGCCTTTGAATTTTCTTTCGAAATTGGTTTCTAGTCTATAACTTTTGATTGAGAAGTCTGATCGAAAAAGTACGAATTGATTTGGATCTACGCACCCAAATTAATAAGAAAAAGTGTTTTCCCGAGAAATTTTGGTGTAGTCGATTTTTGGTAAAAAAGGAAGGTTATACACTGCCTTTTTCAGCCCCGAAAAAAAATTGTCTCAGATCGACCCGGAATAAAAATTTTCTTATAGAATGTGGCCTGTAGAATCCATAATTTCAAACAGTTCCAAGATTGGGCTACTAGTTCAAAAGTTACAGCCCTTTGAATTTTTTTTCGAAATTGGATTCTAGTCTATAACTTTTGATTGAGAAGTCTGATCGAAAAAGTACGAATTGATTTGGATTCTACGCACCCAACCCAAATTATAAGAAAAAGTGTTTTCCCGAGAAATTTTGGTGTAGTTGAATTAGTGTAGTAATGAAGGTGGAGGGGTGGGGTGGGGGTGGGGGTTAGCTCTGAGGTGCACCACAATAGTATATTGAAAGACAAGTGTTACAATGCGACCTATTGTAATACGACTATCTTGTGGCACGAGTGGCGACGCGAAGCGTAGCCACGAGTGTCCGCAAGATAGGAGTATTACAATAAAGCATTGTAACACGCGGCGAAGCGTAGCCACGAGTGTCCGAAGATAGGAGTATTACAATAAAGCATTGTAACACGCGTTTTTCCTACTATTTTTTCTATTTCGGTGCTTTAATTTAATTTAAAAAAATCATTATCAGAAACTATAGGGAACATTAGAACTAACATGTTTTATGTTGGGAACACTTTTTATGCCGTTAAGTTTTAGGTTGGCAGCGTAGTAAGACTGACATTTTGAAGTTCAAACATGGAAGTACCCAACGAAGTACCTACTTGTACTAACTAGTAACTGCCAACTTAAGAGATGAGTTACCAAAAAAAAACGACTATAATCACTGTCTTTGTACAACTGTTTTCGGCCGAAAATCATCATTGTGACACCGAAATAGAAAAAAACATTTTAAAGTACTCCTTTCTCGAAAATCAATTACCATACAGTTTTTTTTTAAATTGCAGCTGATAATTAAAAGTAACAAAATATACAATCCACACGAGGTGCGTCGCCTATCATTGTATTTCAGCACTTTCAAAATACTACGACAAAAAATGATAAATTCATTGTAAAACACTTCAATTAAAACAGAATTTTTTAACAACCTAACATCAACCCCAATTAGAGAAACGTGTTAATAATTTATTAATAGTGCAAGAAACTAAATACAGCACATACTTATAAATTTCCAACGGGCCATTATGATCTACAGACCAGGTGGCAATCCCCCCCCCCCCCCCCCGTGCCAGTCCGCTCCTGCATATAATTAATAATCGTAATTAGAATTAATTTAGTTTTGGCGAAAAAAATATTTTAGTTTTTCAACTTTGATATTTTTTTCTCAGTTTTTTTTAAATAAATGTGGCACCATTTTTGTAGGTTTTACACAGAAAAATAAGGCCTTCAAAATAATTGAATTAAAATTTTAAGTAATTTTTTAAAGGAAAAGTTCGATGTCGTTGTGGCGCTCCAAAATTGTTTTTCAAAAATCCGGGCTACTGTTTTTCGTTTCCGTATGCCTAATATACATATCCGAAATTTAACTTTTAAAAAATTAATTTCCCATCTAATAGTCGACTCACCGTCGTTAGCCACCCCGTACAGTCGAAAAAATTCGTACCCCTCATCGTACTTCCCTAAAGAAAAAAATCATATCACTTTTATCATTATAAACTATAGAAGAAATTATAATTTTCTATAATGACTATATAATATGAATTGAAGGGAGAATGTGGATTTATT